ACATTAAGAACCGCTGTATTAGACAACCATAACATATATGTACAAATCATAACCAAATAACTAGTGCATATATTCTGGACCAAATGTTGTCAGTTTGTCTAGGGATCAAAAAGAAATCCCTCCAACAACGTCTAAAACATACATAGTGAATCATGCAATATTAGTATTACAGACAGTGCTGATTCCAGAAGTTACTTAATACATATTTTATCTAAAAAGAAAACGAACTATATATCTTAGTATCGATCTTCCATACATGATGGATTTTCATGTGCGTTTTTTCCCCCCCGCTGCATCGGCCGATAATGTGGTTTTCACAGGTACGAGCACTTTCAAGGCGGGCCTCCATCTCTTGTAATGAGCAGGCTCCTGATCTATAGCTGATTGGAGGTAACCATACGCATTTTATATCATATACAATGTGATGTATTGTGTCTTATAACCTGTCACTTTCCTGCAATTACAATTGGCGGGAACATGACGTCATGGGGTCAATGTGGAGGTTGATGATTGGCCATTCTGATTTAGGGTTGGTGCTATATATCAGCTGTGTTTATGTGCACTTACACTTTGTTTTACCTGATGAGGGGGATCCCTTGCGACCCGAATCGTTTGTTGTTTGCTACCATGATGCACGTCAATAAATAGACGTATTTTTGCAAATCTGGAGTGCCGGTGTCTCTGCTTCTGCTCATGATTGTTACGGCTGCCACCCGTTGACTACCGCAGCAGGGATTTTCGCGGTCTGGAGTGCGATGGGACCATGGACTATCTGTGTGTGTGTGTGAACACAAGCACACACTAGCAGATGTGCACATGCCCAATCCTGCATGTGTCCATGAGCTCATGCAGGCCCGAACACACAAACCTATACGTATGTGTGTGCAACCACATACACAACCACGCACACCCTACACGCATGTGTGAGGACCACCATGTATGCAGTGGGCCTGCACCCGTGGGCCTGCTTGCACGCAGGTACCTAGGGGCGGACAATTACATGTGGAGGTGAATTAAACTCATAGGATAGTATGGATTTCTATCTCCTCGTTAAGGCCAGTGGGTGCTAGTGTGTTCAATGTATAAATCCAAAAGGTTTCCCTTTTACACAGAAGACGAAACCGTTCAGAGGATTTTAATTGGGTGGATATGTGTTCGATAGCTAAAACATGGAGGGCATGCGTGTTCTTATAGTGTTTCGAGGGACACTATGTTCAATGTCTCCTTTCTCGATTAATCGTCTGTTCCCCTATTCTCTTGCGTAGGGGGAGCATAGTGCGTCCGACATAAACCATGCCACACGGACATGTTAGCCCATATATCACATGATCATGAGCGCAGTAATGAATTGATTTGATCTTATAGGTATTGTGAAGATGATCCCTCGGTTTGTCCATGGTGAATGAATTGGCACGTAAGACACTTGAGTTTCTTGCACCTGAAAATCCCGACTCTGTTGTCAATGTTTTTTTTTTGAGTTTTTGGATGTTTTGAGTTATTTACTGGGCGCCACTAAATTCTTAATGTTTTTATTCCTGCAATTAATAGATGGTTTGGGTGGTAAGAGGGGACCTAATTTCAGATTCCTTAACAGAATGTGCCAGTTATTTTAAATCACCCTTTGGATGGCTTTGTGCCTATTGTTGAAAGTGGTGATGAGCCTAGCTTTATTGTTTTCACTTATGGGTCGGTCTTTCTTGCCAATTTTAGGTTCATCAGATACAAGATACATCGAGTATGCATCCTTAATAAGATGTGCAGGATATGCTTTCTCAGAAATGTTTTTGGAGAGTAGAAGACTAGCGGTAGTGTAATCTGAACTGTTGGTGCAGTTCCCTTTTTGAGCCGGCAAAACTGGCTTTTTGGGATATTATCTTTCCACCTTGGGTGGCGACAACTGGGGTAGTGGAGATATGAATTGCCCCCGGAGGGTTTTATATGATTTCTAGTGATGATGTTGTTATCGATTTGTCGCAAGTTCTAGGTTAAACACCAAATCGGTGGAGCTAACTACATGGGTGAAGGAGAGGCCTAGATTGTTGTTGTTACAGTGGGATACAAATTCTGCCACACTGTCTGGGGAACCATCCCAGATGATGACAATGTCATCAATGTTTTTCCCGTAAAAAAACAAATTACTTTTTGGCATGTGGATTGTTCTTCCATATGTTAAATGTTTCCCAAAAACCCATAGTTAGATTGGCGTAACTAGGAGCATAATTTGCTCCCATCGCTGTCCCTTTTGTCTGCAAGTAAAATGTATCAAGGAAGGAGAAGTAGTTGTGATTGAGTGTAAATTCAGTACAGTTCATGAACTGTGCTTGGGTGTGATTAATGGATGAGTTGGAGAGAGAGAAGAAAAAAAGCATTTAATCCTACTGAATGAGGAATGGAGGTATATAATGAACAAACGTCCAGAGATACCCAGCAGTATGTGGAGTGCCATTTGTAAGTGGATAAGATGACTGGAGTCTTTTATGTAGGATGGGAGAGCTGTGACCATTGGCTGAAGGAATTGGTCTATATAAATTGATAAACCACTAGTGAGACTGCTAGTACTGGCTATTATCGGGTGTCCTGGGGGGGTAGGTGCTGTCTTTGTGTATTTTGGGTAAGTGGTAAAAGTAAGGAGTGCTGGGAAATTAGAAAGGATCTTTCTTGCTTGGAAATGATACCGCCAGTGAATGCCGCTTCAATGAGAGTGTGTCAAGCTCTTTTAAAAAAAATCTCTGATGGGTTACTCTCTGATTCATCCACATGCAGACACCTTCCGCAAGACCCAAGTCCTCAGCCTGGCCAGCTGAGACCTCACAGCACTCGACAGTGACATCCAGTGCCCAACACGTTCGGAGCTGCGGCAGTCTGACGCCGTCCTCAGCCTATAGCTTCTCCCTTCCAGCCTCTCTCTCCATGTTCCCAAGCAGTTCCTCTCCATCTGCAGATAGATGAATGTAGTCACTCGCACTCCAAAAGTGGTAAAGTCAATTATGTTTATTGACCATAATGATGCACATCTCCTAAGCAACGTTTTGGGACCGTGCGGCCCCTTCCTCAGGCAAACAGAATCTCTCCATCTGCAGGCACCATCATTCTCCACCAGCAAACAGTGAGTCACCTCATTTATTATGTGATTTGCATATATTACACGCTAACCAAGTTGTTTAAAGGTAGTAGCACTTATTTTCTTTGTTTTTTGTTGATTCTGTACATAGGGTCCCTCTCCCTGTCCAAGAAGCCAGCACACCCATTACCACTTACTACATTTGATCACCACCCCATTTCTACAGTAGTGCGCTTACCACACTTTTTTTTTTGCTATGTGTATGGCCCTTGCACATCCACCTGACCAGCTCTTAGCTACTTGGTGCACTCCTGGATGGAAAGGGAGTGGCAAGCACACTGCAAACATTGTGCAGCAGAGCGACCATGCTGCTGTACGTCCCCCCCTCCCTACCTGAGACAACAACTTCAGGCTGCCTCCATTATAGGGATGGCCCTGGTTCCTCCAGCTAACTGCTATATTTCATTGTGACCTGTAGTGTTGTAGTGATGGGAGGCACCAGCTGGGGACAGGCTGAAACACCAGGAAGTGTCGGGTATCAGCGGTGCTCAGAATTATGCAAAAGGCCAAAAAAAGTGACTCCTTGCCATTGGACAGATAAGAATTCAAAGCCAACATTGACATATAGTAATTATGTTTAACAGTGTGGACAATTAGTACTGCAGGTTTTTTTAGATCTTTAATAGATTTTCAGGGTTAATATATTTAATCTCATAATGTTATGTAATATAAACAGTCTCCAGTAATCTTTTGTAGTGTCTTATAACTTGGAACATGGGAGTTTTTTTTCTAGAAGTTGCGTCAAACGTGGCAGCATTGCCATTGGTTGGCTTGCAGGTAAGGGACCCCATTACTTCAACAACAACTCTAGTGATAACAAAAAAATGTCCACTTTGCCAGGTACCGGAGTGCAAAATGAATCTCCTCTAATAGTCGGTATAGAAAGGTTTAGACATGTGCGCTGCCAAAAAATTTGCTTCGTTTTAAATTCGGATTTGTGTTATTTCGTTTTTCGGGATTCGGGTGTGAAAGTCAATTCGGATTCGGAATTCGGACGAAATTTGTTAGCGGTAGTTCGTTCGAACGTTCGTTTCGTTTTCGGTTCTTATTCGTTTCGTTCGTTTGCAGAAAAGTGACATTTGAGGGGGAAAATGTTTTTTTCCTTCTCTAATGTCACTTTGCTCCAACGAACGAAACGAATAAGAAACGAATAAGAACCGAAAACGAAACAAATGTTTAAACTACCGCTACCGAATTTCGGAAACGAAAAATTCTGATTCGTTTGCATTCGTTATGTCTGTAATTCGGAATTCGGATACATCCGAATTTCCGAAAATTCGTCCGAATTTCGATTCAGAACGAAACGAATCGCACATGTCTAGAAAGGTGATCATTTTGTCCTAATTCCATGCATGGTACCAAGGCACCCACTTGGATGAACCTGAAAAGAGGATTCTTGGCCCTTCTAAACCATAATAGTTTTTTGGGGTTGTTCCCGGTGACAAAAAAAAACTTCAGTCACTGGTGTTACATACAGGAAGATGGTAGTTTGAGAAGTCTATAAAAGGTCTGATGCTTAACAAGTACCTTTTTACCATATATTTTTATATGTCATATTTATAGAATAAGAATTTAAAATCTACATATTTTGCCAGTGGGTGTTTCAGAAAAGTTGAATGCTGCCATTTAAATCCCATTCTCTTGTATAACCCATGAGCTGCCTGATGGCCCAACGTTGTCTCCAAGACCACTGCACTGCAACTACGCTCACGAGCATAATCAATGACCGTTCTACATAGTGCTTTGGCGATTCCTCTGCCTCGGTGGCTGTTGGCGACAGACATCCTTCTCAGTTCAATGTGGTTCTCTCCTTCTGGGTGAGCTGATGGGATGGCCACCACCATCCCAACCACTTCTCCTAAGGACTGGGCCACCCAGAAGCAGTAGCCGTCTCTTTGCAGGTAGTATTTCTGGATGTCTAGCATGTCATTGGAGAGGGCATGTCGGACGTAGGACTCGTAGAGGTCTCTAGTGCCAAACCACATGGCGGTGAAGACCAGGAGGAGAACTATGAAAGACAAGGTGATTGAGCCAGTGATCAAAAAGGGCACGAGAAATACGGCCAATAAAAATATCCGGATGTGTGTCAGCGAAAGTCCATGTTTGAATGCCACGCGAGTATGTTCCAATGTTCCCTCCGCAAACAGCTCCCTCACAGTATCGTAATCGGAGTCCTTGTAGAGACGAATGGTGTAGTCCGACATGTTCACTTCTGCGGGTTGAAAACAAAATATATAAATGTGTGTCAGTGCTCTGGACTGTATACTGGAAAATAGATAAATTATCCCCCAGGAAAAAAAAAAGATGCTGCCTAGCCCCCGAAATTTCCAATCCAAAACACTTAGAGAACTATGAGATGAGTGATTTCCACTCACCTCATAGTTCTAGCCGACCTGTGACAATGAGACTGTCACAGGTCGGCTCAGTAGATCGGGAGGTGAGCGAACACATACCGGCGCTCGCTCACCTCTCGATCCTGTCACGGCTCTCTGCCGTGACAGGGAGAAGGGCTGGATTCCCCTCTCCGATCTGCCAGCGCTGACTGGCGGAATGGACGGGGGAGGGGGCGGGTACAGCTGGCTCTGCCTCTAGATAGGCAGAGCCAGCTGTCACTCACGCAGCTGGGCGGATCTCGACGTCGATGTCGGGATCCGCTCCGGCTGCGGCGTCTCAGTATATAGAGAGCTGTAGCTCGTGGTATACTGAGCTTAGGGTAACGGGAGGACGCTAGTTTGTGTCCTCCCGTTACCCTAAGGAGAACTATGGGGAAAAACACTGACCCCATAGTTCTCCTTTAAGTATACAGGAACTTGAAATAGTGTTAGAACCACAAATTGTGTTATAAAGTTGCTGCAGATATGACTCTCACCAGTCAAGATGATGGTAGACACATGGATGAGTCTTTTTTGGAGGCAAGAGGAACCCAGTAAGACTAGATATTACATCATAACCAGTACAAGGAAGAATAAACCCATGAGCTGCCTGATGGCCCAACGTTGTCTCCAAGACCACTGCACTGCAACGTGCACGAGCAAAATCAATGACCATTCTGCATAGTTATTTGGTGACATTAGACAATCACCAAACATAAAACCAGCATCCAATGTCAGAACTACAAATCACAGTATGTTATGAGACTGGTTGTTGCACCTATACCTGTGTAAAAAGCATGCTTACATATTGAGTGTTGGACTGAGCTCAGGTTCCGACTGAAACGAAGTTCCTCCAGAAGCCCATCCGCCCAATCAGCTGTGGACCGGGTTTGGTTCTGACCTGAGCTCATCCCCACTCATTTTCCCAAGCTGGAGTTATTTTTAAACTTGAGCTACTGCTCAAGGCTGTCCATACACCTTGCGATCATCGGACAACACTTTTCGTCCGATGATCGAACTGTCGTACGGCGGCCCCATCCTGCCCTGATTATCGCAAGGTTGGATCAGCGATAATGATTAGAAAGCACCTGGACGAATGATTAGAAAGCACCTGGACGTATTGCGGTGATCGGCCACACGTAGTTTCATTTGCGCATGCGCAGTGTAGATCGCACTAATTTTGACGTACAGAAACGCCACCAACCTCGCGAATATCGTACGATCGACCGACGTTTTCTAACCTGCTGGTTAGTCAAAAGGCGATCTATGCTGTTACACAGTGAGATTTACATTAATGTAGATAAGAATTTATATAGTTATTTCCTTAGATCATTTTCCTATGGATGTTCTTTGGTTAGTTCATACACTGCCATGTAGTGGCCTTTTTTGGTATTAAACATGTTTTTTCTATGTTCCCTTCCCTGATATCAATGACTCATTTCTCATGTGTGTATGCCCCTCCCGTCTCGAGTATAGCACTTCCTGTGTCATGGATGCATCTAACAGGCCACATGTGAAGACATTGTCCTGAATGGTAGACGTCCTAGCATGACCACATAGTCTCTACAATGGTTTGACTCTTGGGCCAGCATTGATAATGACAAAAAGTGAAGTATTTAAATTGTTTTCTTTTCCCTCTTCAAGTATTAGTTTAAGTATTAATCTCCTACGCTTGCAGTTTTTTAAAAATCCCATGCTCATTTTTGCACCTAACGGGTTAACAGCAATGCATGAGGAAAAGAATAAAAACCTCATGAGTTAACCATCCACCAGGATGTGACGAAGCCCTGAAAACAAAGGTGGGGTGAAACGCATCATCCGGTACTGGACTTTAAGCTGACAAACCACCTGCATGTCAGGTGCCTAACTGGATAATTTCAACAGTGCGACCTAAGGATTTATACATCGATAAAATTCAAATGTATCTGGGACTTTCTAATATCCCCATACACATCCAAGGAAACCATCTGAGAACCGTTTGATTCCCTAAGTGGAAACAACAAAGAGGACTAATTGGAACAACCCAACATCGTGTAAGGGTCCCCACACACCTTCCGATTATCGTACGAGAATCGCGGGAAATCCCGCGATCGTACGATGATCGTAAGGTGTGTGGAAGCCGTGCGACCTCTGCTACTGTAAGGTCGCAGGACTTTAAACTTACGGACATGTTTGAAAACCCGCCGAGCATCGTACGATGTTCGGCGGGTTTGTGGCATGTCCGTACGATAACAGCCGCACGGGCCGGTGTGCGCAAGCGCACACTGCCCGTTCGGCATTGCGGTCATCGAAAGCCCGCCCCTCAGGGGGCGTGGCTTGCGATCATCGCAAGTACGATCTGCCTATGCAACATAGGCAGATCGTACGTTTTTTTAAGTACCTTACAACCATCGCAAGACAAAAGTCTTGCGATGGTTGTAAGGTGTGTGCCCAGCCTAACACTCTACCCCCTTCTTATGGAGTTCAATTAGGGATCTCAGGGCACAACCCACTCTGATAAGGAAGTGGTTCAGGCTGGGGACACTGCTATAACCCTCTTAGGTGTGGTGAGGGGGCGCAGCTCCCACAAACATCATATACCACTGAAACAAAAAAAGGAAGTACCAGTGTATTCCAGCATACAAGGTACTCAGTATAGTATACACGAGTGAGGGTTAAGTATAGCTCAGCACAGTCTATATGAGAAACAACGGTATTGAATAGCCTGGAGGTATGTGCACATATATACAATGTAAGTCCTGGTATAAGCAGTTTGCAGGAAGTTGTAATAATAGGTTTGGACCAGCAGATGGCGATACTGTCAAGCTGCACAATAATCACAGTGCCTGTGTTCCTATTACTTGCGGTTTGGAGATGTCTCTTAGCAGTGCAGTCTTGCCAGAATCCTGAGAGGAGGTAAGCAATGGGGATCAGGCTACTTCACTCCTGTGAAGGTTCAGGCTAGTCACCGGCAGATGAGGCAGTTCAGCAGGCAGGTAGGAGAGCAATTGCTCAACGTACAGTCTCCATTGACTGAACGCCGAGCAATTGAATCTCCCTCGCTTTTAACGAGGGAGCCGGCGGCCGTGGGCGGAGCTACACTCGGCGGCCCAGGGAGCGTGACGTCACTCCGTGACGTCTGAGCTGGAGGAGGGGCCGGGATCTGCGGCCCAGACGCTGCTGCTGAGAACGTCCCTGACACATCGAGACACTCTATATTCAGCGAGATGGACTGCACCGGCTAAGCAATCGAGCACCCCGTGAGTACAGTATATTCGGGACTTTACACACTGTTTGGTCTTTTTTCCCCAAGTGTGATTGCAACTCATGGTTATGTGTTTTTCTGATCTACCGGGCTCCCATCGATGTCTCTGAATTTCTAAAAAGATCGATCTTCAATCAAGCATTCTACTTTGAATATGACCTGTTCCCACTTAAGAACTAAGGATATACAAGTGAATATCCAACTAATTATATTACGAAACCTACGAAATCATCATCTCATAAGATGGACTGAAATAAGATACATTAGAATAAGTATCCTAGACATTCGATATAAATCCCTTGAATTATTTTCAACCTATAATCAGTCTAAGCGCTGTTTACTCAAATCATTTGAGGACCAACCGGTATTATATAACACGCTGATCAGCTGGTCCAAGAGTGTGTGTGTGCATACTTGAATGAATGGGTTGTTGCAATAACCAGTTTTTAATTGTGTCGGGTGTGTTGGTTTATATGGTGCATCTGGTTCATTCCAAGAACATTTGTTTAATAAATTACTATTTTTGTACTTCATATTGACTCTCCGACCCTCTTTATCAGCCGCACTTTGTTTTAACCTCTCTTGGTTAAGCACATTTTTGTGATTACACATGTAATCTGCATTGCACGCTAAAGAAAGTATCATCTTTTGACCGCATAAATACCGCAATCATTCATCTGCTGTATCCTGTTGTCCAGAATAAAGCAACCTTTGTGGATGAAAAGGTATTGGTGAGTTCAGCTATCTGATAAGGATTGCCCTCAGTGATGGTGTCTGCTTATACAGGCCCGACATAGAGGTCTCAGCAAGGGATAAGTCGCTATCACAACAATCGGAGTCAGAATACGACCCATTGTACAGTAGTTGCGGTTGTAAACTGCCCATCAACCTTACGGATATGGGACGAAAACGCGATTGCATACAAAAATCGTCCGATATTTGTAAGGTGTATGGGCACCTTAACTGCAGTTTTGATCTACTGGAATGCAGAACCAATGATCAGTTCTGCTTCGTTTTGGCTCAGAAAAGGCAAATTGTGTCTTGATCAAAAATGCATTGGAACCCTTTGGTATAACCACAGGAAGTCAAATCACACTCCTAGCTGTGGGTACCACACCCCTTATAGCTACATAAACACAGGAATAAGGTAAAGTGCAGTTTTAATGGTAGGCTGTATTTCAAAATCACTATGAAGATAAAACAGGGCACTTTATACATTTTAAAACAGCATACGCATACCGTATGCACATGGAGCTAAACATAAAACAATGTTCATGAAATATGGTTTAAACACCCAAATATTGGCATCTCCCCGTAGAGGTTGAAACTTTAGGGAGTTGCACTTAAAGGAGAACTATGAGGCGAGTGCTTTTCACTCACCTCATAGTTCTAGCCGACCTGTGACAATGAGACTGTCACAGGTCGCCTCAGTAGATCGGGAGGTGAGTGAACACATACCGGCGTTCGCTCACCTCTTGATCCTGTCACGGCTCTCTGCCATGACAGGGAAGGGGCTGGATTTCCCTCTCCCCGCTCCGATCCACCAAACGCTGACTGGCGGAACGGACGGGGGAGGGGGCGGTTACAG